AACGCCGTTTTTCGGGGATTTCGGATTTTCTTTGAATTTTTTCACAATAATATTCGAAAAATAGATAAATTTTAACACATTTTGATGCAATAAAAATTTTTGGTCGGAGTCCCCTTTAAACCACCGAATTCCGAAATCAATGAAATCTTGAATCTTTGAAAACTTCAATGAACAAAAAAAAAAATTGAAACTACAAAATACCACATAACCTAGGGAATGTTTATTTTTTGAAACATTTTTCCTTACTTGGCTCACTTCTAAAATCAAAGTTGTTCTCCGTAAAAATGTTCCAAAATTTTTCCCAGAACCTAGATGTCAACATTCTCTCGCCAAGACCAACTCCCGAGTCTTCCAGTTCCACCGTTGGTGGAAACTTTGGAAAAGTACATCAATTCAGGTACAGTAATTATCTCTGGGAATCTACAGTAATCCTTTTGTAGCTTCTGCGCTTTTGACACCAGATGAAAAGAAACGAATCGAGAAGGAGGCTCACGATTTTCAACATTCTGAATTGGGTGCTCAGTTGCAGTCGGCGTTGGAGAATCGGTCGAAAAATCATAAGAATTGGGTAGGAAAATAATTTCCTAGGCCACGGCCAACGTTGACCTAATTTAACTCAGTTCCTGTAAAAGTTATCAAAAAGTTGTCACCTGATAAAATGCTACTGATAATATGATAAACATTTTGTCAGTTGACCAATTTTTAATATCATTTTAAGAAAACGAGATATTTGGGCTCAAAGTGAACCGCCCAAACTTTTCGAAAACAATCTGCAGAAGCATGAGATTCCACATTGACAACGTTGACCTGATTTATCTCGGTTCCTGTAAGAGATATCAAAAAAGGTCAACTGATAAAATGTTACTGATAATCTGTTAAACATTTTGTCTGTTGATCACTTTTTGATATCTTCAACCGCAACCGAGATAAATCAAATGAAATTTGACAGTTCCAAAAAATCTTCATCGGTATGAGATTGGTAACTTTGACCCAATTTATCTCGTTTTCTGTGAAAGATATTTAAAAGTTGTCAACTAATCAAAATCACTGATAATGTGATAAACATTTTATCAGATGACCACTTTTTGATATCTCTTACACGAATTGAGATATGTAAGGTCAAAGTTGACCTATTTTTCATAGTTTAATCTGTCTACTTTCAAGTTTGACCTAATTTATCTCGATTCCTATCGAAGATATCAAAAAGTAATTAGCTAACAAAATGTTTATCAGAATATCAGCAACATTTTATCAGTTGACCACTTTTTGATATCTTTTACAGGAAATGAGATAAATTGGCTCAAAGTTGACCGCGTTTTTACATGCTTGCTAAATTTTCTTGTTTCAGCTCGAAGACTGGTGGTACAATGTGTACACTGAAATTCGGGATCCATTGGCTCCCTATGTGTCGTTTGGAGCATTGAATACCGTTTATAATTGTGTGAACGGCGGACAAATCAGTCGAGCAGCTGACGTTTTGTATCATTGGATCTCGGTTTGGGATAAAATTCGACAGTGAGTTGGGGAAGTAGAGATGGCCTAGAAATCATACAATTCGGAGTTCTAGGCCAGCAGATAAATTTTATGATGTGAGACTGACGGAAACTTTCTGAAAACTTTCAAAAATATAATGACCTAGAAACATCGCAAACGGGAAAGTTAGGTCACCAAGAATTGGGTTTCCAGAAAGAACACTTGTGGCCTAGAAATCCAAGTCTTTCGGTTTACTAGGTTATCTTGAGTTTGCCATTTATAGGAGAAACTACTATTATAGTCTAGAAACTTAAAAATCCGATTTCCTAGGCCACCAAACCCAGCTATTATTTTTTTTTCCAGGCCACCAAGCTACTGTGGCCTAGAAACACACGTTTTTTTGGTTTTCTAGGTCATCTATTATCACGAGAGCCTATTTTAGGAGAAGTATGATGGCCTAGAAGTCCAAACTTTTGTATTTCTAGGCCACATTACTAAAAGTCCCATTTTCAGTGGAAAATGGCCAGTAACATCATCTCGAGGCGTCACTTGGGACATGGATCAATTCCATCATCTATTTTCTTCCAACCGTACACCTCACATGCCACGGGACACAATTGATCGATATTTCAAGACAAGTGAGTTTGGGATTACTGTAGTTTTGTACAATAAAGAAAAGTTTGATGTGCAGGTGGTCAAAGCCTGTTTAAAGTCCAATACCCCATTAGTTTTTATTAGTCTCTGATAAGGACGCGAGGTGTGAAAATATGACATATTGATAAAAGAAGTTGTAAAATTTTTATTGATTTTTTGAAAATACAAAAATTGGACATTGGACTTTCTGAGAATACTGTAGGTTTGAGATTACTGTAACTGTTAGATTATTGTAGTCGGTTACTGAAGGTGAGCGATGACTTTGTAATTGATTACTGTAGCTCTGAGGTTACTGCAGTCAATTACTGCAGCTTCAAGCTTACTATAGCTTTTGGATTACTATAGCTTTCGGATTACTGTAGCTTTGAGATTACTGTGGCTTCAGGATTATTGTAGCTTTTGGATTATTGTAGCTTTTGGATTATTGTAGCTTTTGGAGTACTGTAGCTTTTGGATCACTATAGCTTTTGAATTATTGTAGCTTTAGGAGTACTATAGCTTTAGGAGCACTGTAGTTTTGAGATTACTGTAGCTTTGGAGTTGCTGTAACTTTGGGATTACTGTAACTTTGATATTATGGTAGATTCTTCCAGAAGAAGAAGGCGACACCCCATGCCACGTCATCGTTTGTTGTAATGGGTGCTTCTGGAAAATCAATATTCTGAATCAAGACGACGACACTTTGAAGACGTCCGATGAGCTTTTTAATGTGATTTGACTTTTTTGATTTTGAAAATCAAAAAAATAATAATTTCAGATGCTCCAATTTGTTAAGGACAACTCATCGGATGAGTGTTCTGGATGCGTTAGCAAGTTGTCAACTTCTCATAGAGATGTTTGGACTACGGTAAGACAGAACTCGGAGATATTTTTCTGGAAATTGAAAGTTCGGAGATTCCCAAATTCGAAAAGAAATTCAAAAATTCCGAAATTGGAAATTCAAAAAATTGGAAATTCAGAAACTCAGTTTGTTTATGATAAGAATGATAAGGAAGATATAAAGTTTAAAATTAGGAGATCAAACAATAAAGATGATTAGCAACACTGGTGCAACTTAAGAAATACAGTACCAGTCGAAAAGATATAATACAAAAACGTATTTTTCAGTTGATTTTCAGCCATTTTGATCATTTTCAGGAGTCTGGAGCTCACCTGTCATTTTTCGATAACTTTGAAAACTTTAGGGGTCTAAAACATACCCAGATTGAAAGCTTTGCCTTACAGAATTTTTCGAAAATTCCTTTTTCCAGGTTTCTGAAAGACACCTATTTTTTCACATTTTCAGTACAGAAACGGGAATTTTCGGTAAAAATTCCGCGAATGTGAAGTTTTTAATCTAACTTAAAACCTGTATTAGAAGGGCTCCTTTAATAAAAGGGCCCACCGAGAGAGGTTTGGAAAAATAGAAGGGCCCTCTGTGAAAAAAGACCCCCTTCAAAATGTGTTTTGAAGTCAGAAAATTTCCGTGCTCTTTCAATGAAAAACATTCCCGGAACTCCACAATGTAATAGGAATTTGTTGAAACTCCATTTTTCGATGATAATCTTGCTAAATTTTGGTGAAATTAGCATATTTTCATGAAAATTCGTCGAATTTTTTATGCAAAATTTTGGGAAAAACCGGCCGGAAAAATAGAAGGGCCCCCTCTAATTGAAAGGCCCCTGTAATAGAAGGGCCCTCCGGAGGTACCTTGGAACAATAGAAGGGCCCCCTCTAATTGAAAGGCCCCTGTAATAGAAGGGCCCTCCGGAGGTACCTTGGAACAATAGAAGGGCCCCCTCTAATTGAAAGGCCCCTGTAATAGAAGGGCCCTCCGGAGGTACCTTGGAACAATAGAAGGGCCCCCTCTAATTGACAGGCCCCTGTAATAGAAGGGCCCTCCGGAGGTACCTTGGAACAATAGAAGGGCCCCCTCTAATTGAAAGGCCCCTGTAATAGAAGGGCCCTCCGGAGGTACCTTGGAACAACAGAAGGGCCCCCTCTAATTGACAGGCCCCTGTAATAGAAGGGCCCTCCGGAGGTACCTTGGAACAATAGAAGGGCCCCCTCTAATTGAAAGGCCCCTGTAATAGAAGGGCCCTCCGGAGGTACCTTGGAACAATAGAAGGGCCCCCTCTAATTGAAAGGCCCCTGTAATAGAAGGGCCCTCCGGAGGTACCTTGGAACAATAGAAGGGCCCCCTCTAATTGAAAGGCCCCTGTAATAGAAGGGCCCTCCGGAGGTACCTTGGAACAATAGAAGGGTCCCCTCTAATTGAAAGGCCCCTGTAATAGAAGGGCCCTCCGGAGGTACCTTGGAACAACAGAAGGGCCGGCCCTTCTAATACAGGTTTTACGGTGGGAATTTTTTACACACCTCCAAAATTCTCAAAATGATCATAATTTTTTTGCCAACAGTCTCCCGAAAATGGTCAAAATCAATAGAAACTTTTTCTAAAATGAAAATTAAATAATTATCTTCAAAAAAACAGAGTTCGAATAGTGGACTGATTAGCCAGACGTTTCCGTCTGTTGATCCCTTTCGCCACGTAGAGGCTCAGTACATGAAAGGGAATAATGGTTTTTCACCGGGGGGAAAACACCAACCAAAAACCCCTGATGGGCTCCTTGGCCCATTACCGTTGAGAAAATTTCCATTAGTAATTCTTCAGTGGCAGAAGTCTCTATACCAACACTACTCATTGATGTTTCTTTTTTTTGAATCTTTGATTGGATCGATTTTGAAAGGGGGACGTTCGGTGAAAAACACCTAGCCATGAACCACCAAACATGGCGACCCTGAGGGCCTTTTATAACTTTGTTCGCATTTTCACCAATCGAAAGACAAGAAACTACCGATGAGCAGCGTGCAAAGAGCTTCTTACCAGTGAAAAAGTGCCAGTGGGAATTATCCAACGAGTAATAAAGTTGAGAGAATGTAACTTCACAAGGAAACTGCTTTTTCTCAATATGTGGAATTTTTGAAACGTGGGCAGAAGTAGGGGGCGTGACCTAATATTGATTGATTTATTCATTTATTTCGTAACGTGATAATTGAAAAAAAAAACTAATACATTTTTGAAGAGCATGAAAATCAAATACAATTTGAGGTCACCTTTTGAAATGCTGCTAACAGTAAAATACAAAGTCAAATCGCGCCTGAGGCGCGGCAAACATATGGCTGGTTATTAATAAAAAATTCAAAAACTAAAAAAACGATTAGAAGACGAAATTCAGAATCCCAGGATTTAAAAAAAAATCAGAAAATGAGATATAACCAAGGCTGTCAGAAATAGGGCCGCAGCCGGCCGTGATTGAGGCTGTGAGTATGTTACCGCGGACCAATTAGTCCGTTCTTTTGAAAATAAACTCAACAAGCCTGAAGCTATCAGGGCCGCCAGGCCGCCGAATCCTACCTACCGTAAAAACTCTATAAAACGCCACCCGAACCGTCTACTTTGAACCTAAATATCTCACTTGTTTTGAAAGATATCAAAAAGTTGTCAACCAATAAAATGTTTATCATGATAACAGCAACATTTTATTAGTCAACCACTTTTTGATATCTCTCACAGAAAATGAGATACATGGGCTCAATTTTGACGAATCAGGTGACGTTCTATTAGTCTTTACGGTATTTCAGAAGCACCTGAAAAAAAGCCGCGGCCCTGATTAGACAGCTTTGGATATAACATTTAAAAAAGACCAATAATCGAAAATTTGAAATCTCAAAAACCACCAAAATTCCAGAACCGCGACGAACTTCTCCGTGTGAGCGCAGCCAACATGAGACACCTAAAAGATGTAGAATCAAGTATTCTTTTCATGTCACTGGTCCCAAAAAATGGTGGAAACAATCATCAAAAAGTACATTTGATTTTGAAAAAAAAATTAAATTTTCAAAAAATTAATTTTGTTCCAGCTAATGACAGATGCTCTTCAAGACGAGAGCTGGTTTGTTTGGCAAGACAAATCAGTCAGCATTACGGTTTATGAGGATGCGCAGGTTATGGTTCAGGGAGATGTAAGTTGGAAATTTTGAAATTTTAAAAAATGCAATCTCGCTCTATTGAACTAAAAAATTTCAATTTCAGCACTCGAACATCGACGCCATAGTCCTTCTCCAAGTCGGTGATTACGCTGCTTCTCGGGTCCGAAAAGAGCTTTGGCATCCTCAAAAAACTGGATCCGATCAACATTTCGAATTTCCAGAACGTTTGATCTTTGAGATCAATGAACCATTAAGACATGCAATCTCACAGGCAGATGTTGATTTTTATAAAAGTGTGAGTTTGAAAAAATTAATTTTCACTAATGTTGGACTCCTTAATGAGGGATTTCCGGAATTTTAGATTCTTGGAATTTTCAAAAAATTTTGAATTTTTGATTTTCTGAATTTTTGAATTTCTAATTCATATATTTCAGAAACAACTCTATCGCGCCCGTCCTGTCCATTTCTTTGGATACGGTAACGATTTGTGTCGAACTGCAAAACTGTATACGGATACTGTAGTTCAGTTGGCTCTCCAATTGGCATTTTTAAAGACTCATGGAAGTTTTGGACCGGTTTATGAAACTGCTTCAACACGAAAATATTTTCATGGAAGGACTGAAACTGTCAGAGGATGTACTCAACAATTTGTTCGATTTGCGAAAGCGTTGACTGATGAGAAAAAGGTATGGATCTTTTTTTGAGGATTCAGAGATTCTTGAGAATCATTTCAATTTCTGAATACCGTAAAACCTCTAATAGAACGACACCCGGATCGTCCACTTTGAGCCTATATATCTCATCTCTTTTGAAAGATATCAAAAAGTGGTTAACTAGTAAAATGTTTATCAGGA